GAAGTAATGCTGCTTCATTGTACATTTCATCCCAACGCCATTCACTGACTACATGGTGGTAACTTGAAACTATGGTGGAAGTATTTACACCATTGATGCCAGCAAAAGTTGCAAATCAAATCTCTCCACTAAGTCAGCTGGTTTTTCGACATTTACCATCATGTTTCCTTCCTTTTAATGTATGCAAAGTATCTGGTAAAGAATATGCTGGTTAGATATAAGATCTTGTTCTTTGATGAGTTCATTAGACTCTTAAGAGTGGAAGAAGCCTTAGATTCAATTCCTTCAATGGCCCAGAGAGGTAAAGTAGCCTGCCCAAGATCATTTTGGCTAATTAATAACAACCCCCAAACTCAAAGTCTAGTTTCTGCCCTTGATGTTTCCAAGATCACTGTCCTTCTTTTCTTCAAAGCCAGAGTAACCACTTCTTAGGCTTTGGGAGTAATTGGAACATTAACCAGGAGGATTTAGGAGCTCTAGTGTAAGATTTGGAGTTCAGTTTCGATCCTCCATGGTTCATGTTCACCTCTGCTCTGTACTCCAGCTCTGGTAACTCATCTTGATCCTTATTCTGGCATTGTAGTCTCCTCAGATACCTGGTAAGTATGCTGAAGGGCTCTCACTTGTTTCTTCTCCTGGGACTGCTGTCTCCGGAGCCTGAGCCTCTACAGTTAGGGTTTTGCCTAGATCTTACTAGGTCAACCTTCTTCTATAAAGATAATTGCTACCAGCTGCCATCTAGCATGAGTGAATCTCAGAACTTCCCTTGCAGCTGAATTCTAACACCAGTGATGTATGCTAAATCCATATGTCATGTCTCAGTTTCTAAGGCTGAATTGAAGACATGCCACGACTCATGGGTACAATAATGTCACACTCAGCTACTAGCTCCCACATTGGGCTTTTTTCTCTCATACTCTGTCCCTCTGAGCAAGTCTTACTGTAGGTTCTCAGTCATGCATCATCTTGGTCTTCTCTGTCCTTGGATGAATGGCTCAATCAAGGAAGATCCTGCCACAAAAGTGAAAGTACAAGGTGGTAATACCTCCACCAGTCATTAAAACCTACTACAAAGCCTCTATAAGTAAAACTGTGTGGTACTGACTCCTAGGAGATAAGGCTCATTCCAGGACTAGGGCAGGAAAAACACAAGCTAAAATTATCATGTATTATGGTTTTGTTTTGTTTTGTTTTGTTTTGTTTTGGTCCTAGGGATTGAACTCAGGGGCACTCAAGGACTGAGCCACATCTCCAGCCCCTTTTTGTTTTGGTATTTTATTTAGAGATGGGATCTCACTGGTTTATTTAGGGCCTTTCTAAATTGCTGAGGCTGACTTTGAATTTGCAATCCTCCTGCTTCAGCCTCCTGAACTGCTGGGATTACAGGCATGTACCATCACACCCAGCATATATTATGGTCTTATCAAGACCAGGCTACATTCAGTCTTCTACAATAGAATTCCTCACTGGGTGGCTTATGAACAATACAAATCTCTTTGTCACAGTTCTGGAGGCTGATAAGTTCAAGATCAATATCCTAATATATTAGGTGTGTGGTGAGAAATCCACTTCCTGGCTCTATACAGTTCTGCACCCTTACATTGCAGATGCAGCAAGGAGCTCTTTGGGGTGTCACTTATACAGATTCTAATCCCTAATCATCTTCCAGAGACTAACTCTTCTAACACAATCACCTTGGGGATTAGGTTTCAGTAGATGAATTTGGGGTGAACCTATACACGTAGTCTCTAGCATTTTTCAACTCTTCAAAGACCACTCAGCCCACATGCAATACAAATTATTCCAGAGCAGGTGTTAGCAAACTAAACTATATTATAGTTCAGCTCCAACCACCAGTTTTTTTTTTTCATTAAGTTTAGTTGGAACACAGCCATACTTCATTGACTATAACTGCTTTCAGACCAAGTTGAATCATTGCAACAGAGATCATGTGGCCCACAAAGACTGAAATAATTACTATCTGGTCCATTACAGAAAAAAAATGTAATTTCACCTTTTCTGCAGCACTGAAAAGGAAGGAAAACTTTCTAACTCCTTTTATGGAACAAGTATAAAACTGATATTGAAGCCAGATAAGGATAGCACAAAGGAAGAATATCACAGACCAAGATCACTTATGAACAATGATGTGAATGTACTAAATAGAATATTAGCAAAGAAAATGCTTTCCTAAAACTTCATTGAGATTTTTGAGCAGAAATTTAGTAATCTGGTCCACTGTCACACAAATCTGTGTTGTCATTAGTGGCACTGATTTGGGGTGTTTGAAGTCACTGTGTTTAATATGCCAGTTACAGCTGCAATCATTGTGATTGATGCCCTCATGACCTAAGGAGACCTCCCACTTGGCCCCAGCTCTTAAAGATTCACCACCTCCTAGCATCACTACATTGAGGATTGAGCCTTAATACAGAAACATTTGGGGGATAGATTTCATCCAAACCATTGTAGGACCTCAAGTTGCCTTCCAGGAGAATGTATTTCGTGTTAATTTGCAGTGAGATAAGGTTCAAGCAACTTTCTCAAAGATGACTTCATAGGCTCAGGAAGAAGTGGTACAGAAGCACCTTACTTGAACTTATTTCACATTTTTCTCCCTCTTCTACTCGGAGAGAGATTTTTGTTATTTCATGGTTTTCTGATGAAAGATGTCGCAAGTGGGAAAATCTTCAGCAACCCCCAACATGTCAGAAACTTTCAAAGAGAAAGGAGAACATGCTTTGAAAGCTTAGTTAAAACCCTTCTCTCTTCTGAATGCCCTTTGCAGCCTCAGGTCTGGTCTTTTCAATTTGACTTTTGAAGTTCTGTTATCTTTCAAGCTTAATTCCTCTTGGAGTGTGACCAACTTACTAGAGAAGCTACATTTTTCAAAAGGAATATTGAAACTAGAGCATCTCCATGAGAATATGGATTAGTGTTCCTGAGCTTTTTCTCTTGCTTGCAATTGCTCTGTTCAAAAGTGAATTCTCCTGCAGACCTGGGGATCCCATACTTGTTTTTCAATAGAATTGACAAGGATGGACAAAGTAAATACACTAAAGGGGACCCCCCCCACCAACCTAACAATCCTGTTCTGAGTGAGCTTTGGACCAGATGTGAAATTGTTGATTCTCAGAGATCATGGGGCCAATAACTATTTTCTGAGGTTCTGTGTGTTACAAAAAATGAGATGTCAAGATGTGTGACATGTTTTGGGGACAGCAATCTAATCCCACTTGGAGGTAATGTCAGTAGTCTAAGTTTGGCCTCTTTGTCAATGTGATGCTTGGAGCAAATGGTCCTCATTATGGTGGGCCCTGCACTAAATGCATATACAAGATCATTCATAATTGGTGGTCTGTGAGTGTTATTGTACATCAGAAGTTATTTTTTAGTAAATAATGAACGTTAGAGGTTCTTGATATTTAATAAATAAATTTTTTCATTTGTAGTTTTTTAAATAATTTTCTATGATGTGAAGTATGCAACTGGAGGTTTCAAGGAATAGGAAGGTATAGATAACATATTTTTCTTAAGTTGCTTGCTATACAGAAGAAATGTCAAAGATATCATTCTCTTAACTATACTACATTTACCAAAGCAATAATGTGAGCACCTTCATTTTAGAGTAGTGTATCTCAGCCCAGACTTCATATCAGAATCATCGTAGGAACTTTAAAAAATAAAAATCCAAATATCTAGACTACTCCCTAGATAATTAAATCAGGGCCTCTGGAGATGAAATTGAGGCATCAATTTTTCAATACTCCACAGGTGATTTTCATGTGTTGCCTGAGTTTTAGAACAATTTTAACTGGCATGGGTTGGAAGAAAAAAGATTTACCCTTGAGCAACTTAAAGCTCTCATTTCCTAATTCTGTGTAAATCAAGCACACCCTTATATTTTTAGCATCTGTATTTTTTCTCTTTACTTTTTTACCTTTACACTAAAGGACATTAAGTGAAAAAGCTATGGTAATTTCAATTTTCACATTCAATTTCAATAACTAAAAAGGAAACTTACAAAAGAGTAGACTGTCCCATCTATTGGCCAAAGTGCCCGGATGAGTTGTAAATGGGTTAGCGACTTACCAAGATAAATTGTTTTCCTCAGAAGATAAATCGATGCCCTTGGAGCCACTGGGCAATGTCAGGCAGACAATGAGTCTCAGGGCCAGTAATAAGAGTTTTGATATGCACTCCAGGATACCAAACAAATGTTATCATTTTATATGTGTGTTATTGATATTAAAAAGCATGAGAAGTCCTGATCCTTGCCTTTGTGAACCCAGACTTTGGTGTATTCTACTTAGTCCTTCTGGGTTATGAAGATGGCCCTCCTTCCTGCTCTCTATCTTTCTTCACTGTAAGCTGCCATGAAGCAGCCCTTCCTGAGTATTATCCCAACAATGAGCTAAACACAATAAGAAGAGCTGGGTTCCAGGAGTGGTGGGGATCCAAATTCTGAGATCTGGCTCTGACTCCACTGTCTACTTTTGTGGGTACACAGGCACGTTGTTGAGCCTCTGGGAATCTCAAGTTTTCTCCTCTGTTGTATGAGAGGCAGGAACTGACATAAACATTTGTTTTGAGTTTCTTCTAGAATTACCTATGAAATGTTGAAATAAATGATTCAGTGAGTAGATGTTAACCTTATTATCCATCATGTCTTAATACATGTAGTTCCATTGGTTTAGGTGGATCTTGAGGCCAAGAATTTTTCATCTAATCACAGCAGCTAATTCTTCTTCAGTGAATATCCCAAAACCACACATGCATCCAAATACTTTCCTAAAGATTTGCCTGTGTGGCAAACATCTATAATCCTAGAGACTTGGGAGGCTAAGCAGGATAGCAAATTCAATGTAGTCTTGGCAACTATATATATATATATCTCATGTTTGTATAAATATATCAAAAATAGATTCTACTGTCATGTATAATTAAAAAGAACAAATAAGAAAAATGAAGCTCTAAAAAAATGATTTTTTTTTCTTTAGATGGCTTTGGTGCTTTCCAAAATAGAGCATAACACAAGGAGACAAGTGATTTCTGGCTGTCCTCCATGTGTGTGAACACAACCACCAGCCCCTGGGAATTGGAGGCTTGGGTGTCAGCAGAGCTCAGAAGCTCCGAGAACTTTTGGGAATGCCTTGAGGACATGCTTCAGGGACTGGGCTTATGTGGGGGTATGAGCCAGCAGAAGAGACTGAAAAAGAATTAATTTAAAATAAAGAATTTTCAATTCTTTCTCCAAATGTTTCAAAGACATTGTTTGAAGGAGAAATTGGAAAGATTCAAATAATTTTTGGAGGACAATCACACTCACATAGTAATCAATGCTTGGGCAAACTTCAACAAACTCCACCAAAAAAATAATTTGTGTGATTGAATTATCAGGTTAGTCTGTGGGTATAGACACGGCTAATGTTCAGTGGGTGTCTGTGTTGGGAATCTTCTGTCACTATGATTCTGAATGCTCACTTCAAACACCTTGTGTTTTCAGTAATGGTTATAGTTCCTAAAGCCATTTCAGTATCCCAGAAAAGAATGATCAGTTCCATCCTTTTGGAATTTTAGATTTGGGTTTGTGTACTTATTATTTTATTATTATTTTAACACTATTTTTCATTATTGAAAGAAGGAGATCTCAAACACAATAGATGATGATAATTATGCCAGGTGAACACTTTGTTCTTAAACTTATCTTTAAATTTAATTGTGTTTTCAGAGAAACCTGATACCTTCCAAGGTGGAAGACTCCCAGTGATGGCCAAAATGAAAGACGATGTGACCATCACAAGGTGGCGAGCCACCATTATGGGATTGCTGAGAATCACCACATGGACAACAGAAGAACATGCATCCACATGTATATGTACACAGTGGTTGCATGTCCATATAAAAGTGGCTTCAATTCAATATCCTTGGATTAGAAGACACATATCCTTTTACTATTGAAATTTCTTGTACCATATGGAGTGAAACTATAGGCAGGCTGTGTTCTCTTATCAAAATATTTGCTTCTTGATTGGTTACTGTGGTTTCAAAATATTAACTTGTTGAGTTTTTTCTTTTTCTTTCTGTATATGCTCACTTTTTTTGGCAGGACTGTGACAGCTTTGGAATATAATTTTTAAAGGGCAGCTGTGCAAATTTGGCAGATAATCACTAGTAAAAGAATGCTTTGGATTAGACCCATAATGAACCATTATCATTAGCTTCTTTCAACAGGATTAGAAACACAAATACATATGTCAATACATATTACATGTGTATTAAATGTATGCATATTTTAATTATAATGCTAATGCACATTTTTATACAAACTCAATACATGTTACTATTCAAGGTTGATTAAATTCAAGAGGTTGAAATGAATCCAATAAAACAAGATTAGAAAGAGATTAGAAACCAATTTTAATTACAAAATGGCTGCCTCAAACCCTTTTAGTAAGTAGGCAGATATAAATAATAAATAGAACCATTTAGAGGCTTTTCTTGACAAGTGGCCTTGGGCTGGAATTCTGGAGAGCTGTATTTGGCTCATATCCTCAACTCTGGCTTTCCTAGTGACCTTTAGTAATTGTTTTATAGATCCTTTAGGAGCTAGGAACATATTAGATGATCAATAAGTGCCTTGGAATTCCTTAAAGCCTAGAAAAAAAAAATTTCGAGTCTTTGTTTTCCTGAAGAAAGGTATTTGAGGCCTTTGAAGGAGAACCTGAGACAAATCTGAGACAAAACAGAGACTCTTGGGGACTTCAGATTTTCTAAATCAAAACTAGATTCTAGACAGTGTGGTGTTGCATGCCTGTAATCTCAGTGACTTGGGAGGCTGAGGCAGGAAGGTCTCAAGTTGGAGGGCATCCTCAGTAATTTAGCAAGACTCTGACTCAAAATTAAAATAAATAAATAAATAAAAGTGAACTGGTTATAGCTCAGTGGTAAAGCATTCCTGGGTTCAATCCTTAGTTCCAAAAGCAAAACAAACAAAGGAACGAACAAAAAAGCTAGATTCTATGGTCTTGAAAGAAGTCAGGATATTTTTTCAGCATAAAAACCATATGTTAGAGACATTTTGAAATGTCACATAATCTATACTTTGTCATACACTTATCTATAACTTATCATTAAAGCTATTTTTTAAAAATACTTTGAGCTTCAGTGGAGATGTTCAGAAGAAAAAAGGCTTGCTTTGAGTTTTTATCACTGCGGCTTTGTCTCTTGGGGTTTCACTGTCTGCATTCATGAAGCTCTTCAGCCTTCCCGAATGTGTAGTAATATATTTATATGTGCCTGAAATATATATTTGGAAGAGGGTGTTATAGTTTAGACATTAGGTGTCACTCAAAAGCTCATGTATGAGCTAATATAAGAAGATTTAGAGGTGAAAAGATTGGGTTATCAGAGTCTTAACCTAATCAGTGCATTAATCCCCTGATAGGATTGGGTAATAACTGCAGAAAGGCAGGGTGTGGCTGGAGTAGGTGGGTCACTAGGGCTTTCCTTTGGGGTTTATATTTTGTCCTGGTGAGACGAGAAGTATCTCTCTGCTTCTTGAACCCATGTTTTGAGCTACTTTCCTACTTTACACCTTTCTGCCATGATGTTCTGACTCAGCTCGGGCACAGAGCAATGGAGTTGGCCATCTATGAACAGAGACCTCTGAAATTTTGAGTACCAAATAAACTTGTTCTCTTCTAAAATTGTTCCTGTCAGGTCTTTTGGTCACACTGATGGAAAAACTGACTAAAACAAGGGTATCATTCTGCCACTCTTCTTATATATCCATTATATGTTTCTTTAGGAATTAATACAAATGAAGTTCAGTAAATCATAACTAAAATTACTACAATTTTCATCAAGATAAAAGTCAAGGTTGAGTGATGTGGTATATTATTTTAAAGAGATTAATTCCTTTTCCATATTCATACCTTTATAGAATCTCCTTTCATGCCAACTTTGGACTTGGTCCTGTAACATACTTTGGCCAAGGGGACAATTGCAAACATGATGGAAATAGATTCTTAAAAAGAGCTTGTGCATTGGGACTTTCCCTCTGTTGCTGTTCTCATTCATTCCAAGTACCATGAGAAGAAGCCCAGGTGAGTGAGTCTGCTCTGGGATAAGAAACACAACAGCCCAGGAACCTTTGTCACCAAACCAATAGCCAGCACTGACTGGAACACAGCACCAATCAAGAAGCTCAAGATACCAGATATTTAAGAGATACCATTTTTGATCATCTGGTCACTAACTGACGACAAACCACAGGTAAGCAAGAGGCCAGCAGAGAGGAGTTAAGCTGGGTCAGAACAGAATTGTCCTGTGAGCAATAGTTTTGAGGGTGGTTTGTCCTTGTGCAAAAGTTGATTAATGCAGGAAGGGAGAGGTAAAATGAAAGGCAAAGTTGAGAGTAAGTTTGAGTTGAAGGAAATTCAGTTGTAAGGGAATGACAATAAATAATCTCTCTCAAAGACAGAACTCAGTCATATAGGTTTTTGGAGAACTTGTGTGCACAAGGGTGGTAAAGTTCCTGGAGTCAACACCTCCTTTCCCCTCTACTTTCATCTCCCTGATTCTGGATGTTCAGGGTCACAAGGAATGCTCCAGTAATCACTTTCATGGAGTGGCCCAATGTTGTATGAAAGAACTTACATGTCCCAGTCTAATCCTCTCATTAAATGGGAGACAAATTGGCTTGTTTAATTCACCCAGAAATTTAGCTTATATTTGCTTTGTTTTTAATGAAATAAATAAATTTCCTGATGAGTTTTGAAAACACAATTTTAACACCCTTGCAGAAGAATCTTTAGTTTTCTTTTCATTCCTGTGTTTCCTGAATTAAATCTCAAAGTGGGTAGAGCTATAGAAAGAGGCTCAGTGGTAAGAAGAAAATATGTCCCTCCCATGGTCAATACACCTAGAGTTGACATTGAAAAGACACTTTTCCTCAGTCCTGGAGGGGAAATGAGTCAGATATGGAGGTACCATCAACTTCAACCAAGCTACTGTCTGTGATGACAAGTGAGAGAACAAAATTAAAGAAAGGTGGAAAGGAAAATAGTTATTCTATGGTACACTGATTATTTGATCATTTTCTCTTCTAAAGAAAACTTTGGAGATAAATTTTTCCATTGTTAAGTCCTTAGTTTCTGAGGATCAGCTGGGCACAGATCCCAGGAGGCAGGATGCTCAGGGTTCCTGGCAGGATCCCTTCAAGGATGTGATACCTGGACTCCCTAGGTCCTGGGGACCTCTAGCACCATCTTCTATCTTGTCCTCTACCTTCTCTTACATATGACCTGCCTTCCAGCTTCCCTTGATTTGCCAGTCCTTCTCACACCTATGCCTTTCCTCTGTTGTTTCCCTCATCTTCCAAGAGTACTTTTCCTGCTTGGTGAGAAGCTTGCTTTTCCAGACACTGGAGAGAAGCTATGAGCTTCCCACATGACCCCAATGAAGCCTTCCTTCCCATCTCCAGGCTGACCAGTTTGTTTTCCTTTGCAACTTCTGAACTTTGACTTACCTTCTCACACTACTAATTCTGCTTGGTTTGGCTACACTGTCATCTTGGGTTGCAGAAAGTTTCACTTTTAAACAGTTGAATTAAAGTTAATTTTAGGACCTAGTGTTGTTAGCTTACCTGACATGCAGCAATCCTAACTTCCTTGATACTGTACGTATAAATCTTTAGGTGAATTTTATTTGCTCTTCCCAAAGAAATGAGCAGTTTTGCAGTTGGTCTTAAAGATGGTTCTCTTTCTCTTTAGGAGAAAGGAAATACAAAACAGAGGTGTGTGCATTTAGGAATGCACAAGGTAAGCTAGTTCTCTGAAATGGTTCAAGTCTATGGGGAGTGACTCACGAGCTTGTTGACAGATTGTTTTTTGAAGGGGGATGACACATATGTTTAGAAATAATAAATCTTTTCACCTAGAGCTTCCTCAAATCTAGCAGCCTGATATGATTCACAAATTCATGATAGAACCTGCCTGATAAGGCACCAAGCCTGCTCCTGCCTACTTGATATGTCTGGATGAGACTTGCCTTTCAACTGAGCTGCCTTTAAATAAGAGACACTTGCTCTTGGAATATCAATCAGATGATTTCTATTGGAAATGCATATTACTATCAGTTTGATTCTGCCTTTCAACTCCCCAAATCCACTTCTAATTGTTATGCCATAACATTCTTACTCATAAAAGGGGCAATAAAATTTACTTGGAAAGGAATCTTAAAATGTGGGGAAATTGTTTTTGTAAGATGTATAGTAAAGTGCTGTAATTGGAACTTTACCCAACAATGATATTTTGGCCTAGATTTTATTCTTGCATTAGCTATAAAAGTTTGCTACACAAATTAATAAGCAGATGCTAGGGAGCTTGAATAACCAACTTAAAAAGACATTATTGTGAAATACTTGATAAATACCAACTTGGAAAAGAAATCCAACAAGCCAATTAATAGATGTTTATTTAGTGAAAGAGGTGCAAGTGAGTCTTTGCTTTTTATTATATTGTTACTATTGTTTGTCACTTTGTCTACTCGGCAATAATTGCATTGGATTTGCTTTAAAATGTTCTACATTTCCACCTTGTTAGCTCAAATTGAGGATTTTGCTGCATTTAGTCATTTTAGGAGGAATAACCGTTCTGCAAAGTTTTCTGTTTCCTTAAACTGTAGACTGTTCTCCTTAGTGGAAAATGGCTGCTGAGTTTGCGAAAACAGTACAAAAGATTTCAGCATAAAGATGCTGGATCATTTGAAATTCTCCATCTCTGCAAAATTCTCAAATTAGGCTTATGAAAGCAATCGGATTTAGCAAACAGCTAATTGAACAAAGCAAAAGCTTATCAGCAAGCCTGGATTTGGACTGCACTTGTTCCCACATTCTCTTAGCAGCAACATGTCTTCAGTGTCCCAGGTAATCCTCTCATTGGGTCCTTGAGATTGCCCTCCAGAAAGACCCTTGTGCCAGGTGCATAAGCTCTCACAAGGCTGCCTCAGCTTTGTCAGTAGGACCTGGGTAGGCAGATGGCTATTTTGGGTAGCTCATCAATACAAAATGTGCCAAATCTAAGATCAGACAAGATTAAAAGCCTTTGACTTATCATGTATTAACAACGGATCAAAATATCTTAGACTTCTCCTATGCCATGTTATAATTAGTGGAAAAAGTAACTACCTTAATTAATTTATGGTTTATGTATATATGATGGTTTCAGGTTGGGTACATGATGGATTTGGAGTTTGAGGATGTTCATCTGTATAGGTTTGTCCCTTTTCTCTCTGTTTCCTAGTTTCTCTCTCTAACTTGAGCGGTTTATACAAGCACAGTTTGAATTTCTTGACTACCAAGATGATGTTGTTTCAGCTTTATCATTCCTCAGAAATGTCACCACTGCTTAAACAGTTTTTCTTTTTGCAGTTGGAACTGCTTGACAAAACTGTATGGTGCTGTCAAGGCCCTGGAAGGAAAGCAAGGGGTTCATGATGTAGAAGGAGTAAACTTATTAAAGAGATCCCCAGTGGAGCACTTGTAATGAGCTGAAGATTTCTCCAGAGGCCTGTTGCCTGTCTGATGACAACAGGAAACATTTTTCTAAACCAGGAGGTTTACAATCTACAGTGGAGGTGTGCTATTAAACTGTAGGATTTTTATTTCCCCCTATCTGGCTTAATCAGCAGAGGTGGTAACTGTTTTTCCATTGAAATGAAACATGCCACCCTCAATTCTCTCACATGAGATCTCTGGTTTTGGGTTTCTGTGCAGAGGTTTCAAGATTTGAAACAATTCTCAAACTTATTTAGGAAAGAGAACACCTGGAAATCACAATACTTTCTGTTTTCCTGGATATGATGAGGAAATATTGGCTTATTGAACTGAAAATAACAAATTATAGTTGTTGGCATAGTTAAATAAAATCTTGGAATAAACTCTAATATGAATTGTTCATAACAGTACAAAGCCTTCATTAGGTAGGAGAAATAAGTCTGATTTTTTTTTTTAATCAAGGATGTCTGCTGACCTAAACTGATAATTGAGTACTATACATTTCAATATCACAAAGAAAATCTCTAAGGTTTTGATCACAAAAATATTAAATGTTTGAGGTGATAGATACATTAATGAGCTTCATTTACACTTTATATTATAAAATTACTTCATAAATATAATCAACTATAAAACTTAGAAATAAAAAAAGAAAAATTTGGAATACAAAAATGACTGAGAAGTTTCAATTCATTAACTTGGTTGAATTTTTGAAGCATCAGAATTCCAATGGGCCATACTTTGACAGTCACTGGTAGGAAACTGTGTGAGCTGTGCAGAGCTCTAGGAATATTTTTATGAAGTTAATGATAGGACTGTGTTTATGTCATGAAATGTAGTATTCAAAGAGTACTCTGATGGTTATCTGAGAGATGAGGGAAATGAGGAACCAGGCTCCTGTTGACATCATTCTTGGCTTAGGAAAAAAAAGCAACTGATCCTTAGACCTAAGGCTCCCCCTCTGGAGTCACTGCACTGAATGAGCAGCCACCTGCCAGTGCCTGTTGGTGTCATGCCTGTATCATGCTGAGAGCACAGCATCATTGCTAACTCAAACAGAAGAGATAATTACCAAGGCTGTGGTTTGAGAAGCAAAATACACCGACACTGGAGGGGAAAGGGCTATTTATTTAGAAAAGTCCACCTTCAAATCACTGGACAAGAGAAACAACTCATAGAGAAAATCAACACTTCTTAAAACAAAGGGGGATCCATTATAATTGGCTGATTTCTCTAGCACTCTCTAAATGGTTTTGAACAAAGCCCTCCCAGATGTTTTCCATTGGATAAGCACATACGATGGTGAAAAACCAATCATTTTGTTGTGCCTGTTACACTTCTTTCTACATTTCTCTGAATTACATCTCAGCATAATAATAGTGTGTCTGATATTAGGGAGACATCTAATTTAGCATTAATTTCTCTGGGTGGAAATAGGAGCCATATGTTTATGTTAGTCATAGTGACATTAGGCAGTTTGATCATTTCTGAGCAGATTGATATATTTTCATCTCCAAGAAAATTCTGAGAACTCATATTCATTTTGGAGCACCAGTAGCTTTTCAGTATAGAGGCCACACAAGTTTTCTAATCTTATTTTATTTCATTTCTCTATCTTTTTGATTCTGATTTGAGTCTCAGGTAAAATTGTGATTCTTCTGTGCCTCAGTTCTGTTAATATATTCCTCATCTCTCTCTGGCAAGACAGTAACTGCAAGTAGATTAACTGTTACAAAGTTGTAGCATAGCAGCATTAGGGTTCTTTGAGGTGGCTATTATTACTTGATTTTCAGACTGTTGAGACTTTTAAAAATATATACTCAGCCTCACTTGGTAATATCTTTTCACAAGGGTGTAGAAATCCAATAGAGAAGCATCCTTTCCAAGTGCCCTGGATGCACATAAATAGCTTCCATTCTGGAAGCCAGCAGGGGGCACATAAGACAAAATGAGTTTTAAAAAATGTGCACATAGAGTAATTTTAATCCATTCCATTTTTAAATACCACAATAAATTTAATTTTCACAATAAATTAAATAGCCATATTCAGTTTACAAAATAGAATTACTTAGTGTGAAACCGGTATTTACAGCATTATACACTATATACATGACATTTCTCTTTCTTGACATACAACATGGAAGTAAAGGACTTGAGTTTCCAATGTGTGATTGACATGCTACAAGTGACACCATGGCCCATACAAGAAAACAATAGTGCAAAATCACCACAAGAACTTTGGAACAATGTCAATTTTATGAGATAAGACATTTTTTTTAAATAATAAGAAAATAGCATTTTTGTTTTGTTTTGTTTTCATGGCACCAATTCAGTGTCTGAATAAAGCCGGCTTTCCCTTAGGAAAAAGAATGCATAACTGAATCCTCTACTTCCTGAAGCTTCACAGCTATTGGTACATTTTCACACATTCATCTTTTGGCTTAATCTATGAAAATGGCAGGTGACAAATTCTGAATCAAAGGAAGACTAACTCTTTGAGAATAGCTGAAGTCACTTTTTCCTTTACCACCACCTCTTCTTTTTTTTTTTTTCTGTAAAATAGCTTAAAAGATGCAACTTTGCAGACATCAACTTACTTATTTATTTTTGTAAATTTTCAGTAGAAAAAAACTGATATCATATTTGGTCACACACTGTATTATGTACAAGTATACATGGAAAAATGACTTGGATAGTTGTGTCTAAGAAAAGTGCATATTTTAATCTAGAGGAGACATTGTGTGTCCCCAGGAACAACACACAGTGTTGTAGGGTATTGTTTTAGGGCCAGTTCAATGTCCTCCCGGTGATCTGGTAAAATTTTTGATTAAAAGGGTGAAAGAATTTGCGCAATTTGGTAATGACAGAGGGGTCCACCTCTGGATGAATGCGCCCCTTGCTGCCCGCCAGGCACTTATTAAAGATAATGTTAAACCGTAAGCAGTAAAACCCTCTGGTAGCATTGAAATACAAGTTGTATTGGCTTATCCTTGGAGGAAGATTTAGAAACTTCTCCACGAGCTGAAGTTCTGGCAGAGGTTCCGTGATGAGGCGGTCTCCATCCACAATGTGAAATTGCTCAATTGGAAAATATTTCAACCACCTTTCTAGATGTTTGGTGTAGATGCTGGTTCTTACTGCCTTATATTTTGTGTTCACTTCACAAGTATTAGGGTCTATGGCCAGCTTCTCAAACTTGTAATAAGTTTTGTTCTTCCTCTCCTTCCCTTCTAGCACCTGAGTGTAATCAGAAATAGCTCTTGTGGTTGGCTCCCTGACAATGATCAACAACTTGATGGATGAGTTCATTTTGTAAATCCTTTCTGGAACCTCCTCCGTGATAAAATATGCTGGGCTTTTTTCAATTGTGATCTGCTGAGGGTAGGAAAAAGGCATTTTTTTCCTATACCACTCAATGCCCTTGGCATAGTTCTCATCATTGTCAAAAAAGTGGATTTCTTGAGAGGCTTTGACCACTGCTGGATGGAGGTTCAGCATCTCTAGCAGGGCCCTTGTGCCCCCTTTCCTCACCCCAATGATAATGGCCTTCGGGAGCTGCTGGACCAGGTCATGGAGGCGAACCTGCTCCTTGGAAGTGTTGCCCTTCCGGAACTCATGGAGCAGGCCACGCTTAAATTGTAGGGCGCGGAGTGGCAATTCAACCTGACTTCGGGCTCCACCAAATCGGCCTTCAACGGGGCAAAGAGGTTGTAGCCTGCAAGCAACAGAGACACACTGTAAGAAGCTCATTGTAACTAACTTCTCATTTTTCTACTTCACCAGTCAGACTAAGACTTTCAATGCATAAATAAAATCACTGGTGCCCAGCCTGCTGCAATCCATAATGAACATATGTTTGGAAAATTTTATTTTAAATAACCCTGTATTAAATGGAGCATATATAATTGATGGGATTTTTTATTAGCACTCCTTAAAATTTTTATTCACCATGCACTTAATTGACTCCAGCATGTACTTATGCTCATAGTACAGGACAGATAAGTGACACCAGCCATACTAATAGCTTTTCAACAGCTCACCAGTTAAAATCATTTAGAAAATGTGAAAGGGAGAAGATTATAATCTTCAGTTGGGAGGCTGAAGGGCAGAGAAGAGGCCATTTGTTTCTGGTTTCACATGGTGTTATTTTCTTGCAGCTCAGCAACACTTACATGGCTCTTAAAAATCTTTGAGATAGAATCTGAAAAGAAGTCCCACTCTCTATCCTTGGCTGTCTGCATCATCAACCTGCAAAATTCCAGTCTTGGTACTTGCTGAGCTTTTCATTCTATGAGAATTTCTGCCCTTGGCCTTGGTGATAGCCAGAAGAGTACTATATTTCTTCTGCCTCTCTTTCTATTTCTATTTAAAGAGGTCAGGAGTATGTTTTCACTTTGCTGAATGTGGGAACAAACCCAATTACCTACCATCCGCGAGTGCTGTATATCATCTACCACAACTGTGACCAGAAATCAACAAGACCTTGATGGGGCCAGAAACCTCAGCTCCTCACTGCCAAGTACATTTAAGTAAAAGAATGGAGTTCATGAGGGAAGGAATACAATGGATAGAGCCAGAAAGGAGGATTTCCACTTTAATATTACCCTGAATAATGAGTAAGCACTTCTATTTTTCTCAGATAGAAATATGTGGCAATAGTCACGATAATATTAGACAGGAATGGCTGTTTAATTTGGCATGGTCAATATATGTGATTAACAAATACAGTTTCCTTGTACATATAGACTGAAACTTAACTGAAATTAATTAAAATTTTCTTAAGCTGGTTGGGGAAGGCATCTTAGCCTACTTGAGAAAAGGGCAGATAGTGGTTAAAATGGCTGTCAAACCAATTCCTCCAACTGAAAAATTTTGGTTATCCCAGTAATCTGGAATCCATCTCTCTCTCTCTGGCAATGAGATATCACTTGCTTTTCCCAAAAGACCCTGTTACATCTCAGAGTCATGCCAGTTTGCTCTGTGGTACTGAGGGAAATGATCTTGGTGAGTGCTCTAACAGTTTTCTATCATAATGCCTAAGGAACAATATAAACATATGTTATTTTTTCATAGTATTTGTTTTTTATTATCTTTAAAACAGTCCATGCTTATTGAAAGTATGAAAATATAGAAAATAATTAGAGGGGTAGGAAGGATAGTAGAATCAATTGGACAATAATACCATACATGATTGATCCTATGCTATGTACAACCAAAAGAATGAGAAGTTATACTCCATTTATGTATGATGTATCACATTGCATTCTACTGTCATGTATAACTAATTTAGAACAACAAAAAGAAAACTATTAGAAACACAGGATTTACCATAGTTAATGTTTTACAAAAACATGAATTTTATTTTTATAAATTTGTTAATGGGATTAATATACTAGTGTTCTAATGGAAGAAATAGAATTATTAAGAGATATGTAGAGATATTTTTAATTGTGACATTGATTGAGATATAATAATTTCATGTTTTGGTTCTTCTTTGGTTCTGGTTAAGAATTAAGCCCTAATTCACAATATCCATTGGTGGACTTCTCTCTTTATCATTTAGAATGACACTCTGTACTTGGGATGAGGATAGACATCCTGTCTTTTTCTGTGGTATTTAATTCTCTCACAGAAATCTGGCTAAGAGGATGACATAAGTATTTTTGCCTTGACTGAACTAGAATAAAATTTCCCTATCTTTAGAAAGGGCCATTTTCCTCCTTTACTTCCTTTCTTTCTACTTTCTCATCTGGGACATCATACTTTTCGAAACAATTGCTTTTAGGACACTCCAACTCAAGAGAATATGTAAAGATACGAGAACATAATATGCTTTTTTCCACTTCTTGAAGAGCAGATTCTGATCATGGGTTCTGACCAAAAAAGATAGAATTCTAAGACTGGAAGGAACAGTAATCAGTCACTTCAGTCTCTTTTCCAGATAGCAGGGTCTTAGGTTAGTAAAGCAGAAGCCTAAGTAAGTCATATCAGTTTCAGACAAAATTTGTTCAAACTTTCAAGTGAGAGGTTTTGAGAAAGCCTACTAAAACATCCAATTCCTTATAAAAGATATCCCATTAGAGAGTAAAAAACAGGTTAAAAATGATAAAATCATCAACCAAATAATGAATGTTCTAGTATCTGGTTACTCAATTAAAAAATGATTAGAAGTTAATTAAAGGTGCTAGGAAAAACTTGTTACAAAAGTTCTAATATGGACATGGGAAAATGGTACCACCTCAAGGATTTTACCAATAACCAAGTAAACTACCTTGAAGTGCTGACCTTTAAGTGATAAGCTCTTAATTGCACTTTTCTCATAGGTAATGACTAGTGAGTAAAAAGTTTACTCAGGAATTTTGAATTGAAAATCCTCAAAGGGATGTGTTTTTATCAGTCAAAAATGATACTAGCTGCAAGGTGTGGTTGCACATGCTTGTAATCCCAGTGGTTTAGGAGGCCGAGGCAGAAGGATCTCAGGTTCAAAGCCAGCCTCAGCAAAAGCAAGATGCTAAGCAACTCAGTGAAACCCTGTCTCTAAATAAAATGAAAAGTAGGGCTGGGATGTGGCTCAGTGATTGAGCGCCCCTGAGTTCAATCCCTGGTACCCACCCCCCCTCCAAAAAAAATAAAACTAGCCAAAGAAAAACAAGGGCCACCAAATGATAAGTTCTACTGATAAGCTTAAATTTTGGAAATAGAACTCAAAAGAAGGTATTTTTATTTTTAAGTGTGGCTGCATTTGCAATGTGAATTGAACTCAGAAAGTATTTCACTCTTCCCATTATAAGAATCAATTTTAAAGGGCAAAAAAAAAGAAGTTTCACATTTCAGAAATCAACTCCTTTGTACTTGCCAATCATCCTGGATGTAGACCTGTCCAGAAGCATTTATTGTTTAGTCAGCTGATATTCTGGGACTTCTGAAGGTCCAGTACCTCTTAACTGTTTGCCTATTTGGAGCCAAACACTAGTTGTGTAATTTCCTCTCCATGGATTTTCCATTGCCTTCTGGGCAATTACTCTGAGTGACAGCCTCCTTGTCTGGTCTGTTCAGCTCCTGAAAACCAGAGCTAATTAACATAGTTAAAAATCTATGCCTGCAGCCATCTTTCCAGGGCAATGGATTGCAAACTTGATGAGATCCTTTACAGGCTCATACATAATTTTAATGCTCTTGATAACACATTAATTGTCCACTCATAAATTTCAAAATGAAGAGGCCTAACTATATCATCACTGTTTGCTATAGCTAAGGGTCAACACCAGATACTCATAGACCAGAGTGTGCTCTACTTAGTAAATGACATTTTAATTTATTTATTTATTTTTACTGTACACAGCTTTATCCCTTCTCTGAAAACAAGTGTCAGTGCACACAGAATACAAATGGATCTTGACAGAATACCTTGGTTTGAGCAACTTGGATCACCTCCTTTTAAAGTTTTAATAAATCAAAATTGATGCAGAAAAGTATTTTCTTGGGAATTTTGAAGGAGGAAAACTAATAGAGAGACTTAAAGTTATATCCTAAGGAATTTAAATTAAAAGACACCTAAAGTCATATGGGCATATGTATACGTTTAATCACCCACCTATCCAAGCTCCCAACTCTGGCAACTAGATACAAGAGACTCCCAACAGCAAGGCTTCCCAGCACCAGGAGCTTCTGTCTCAGCCACGCCTGCTGTTTGAATAGCATGGCCCTCCATCAACCTTCAGAACTGCTGCAGCCTGAGAGAGGGGAGAGAAGGCATTCATTAGTGGTTGTTGCTTACAGGCTCTGTTGAGTTTTACCAAGTCAACCAGAGGGGACAGGGGACAAAGAGATGTTGTATGCAGAACAATGCGTATAGCAACCTTGTCAATTTTTGAGGTGCAACAGGTATTTAGCCAAACTTACCTTTTTTTTTTTTTTTTCAACCTGGCTAGTGCTAAAAAATCATCTATTAGGTTTAGGAGGAAGATATTTACTAGATAGTGCCTGCCAGACAATTGCCAAAACAAATTAATATGCATAGATTATAACATATCATATGCATATCTAAATAATTCAAAGAATTTTGAAAAAATGAGCAACATGAGGTTTACTGGTAATGGCAGGTTCACCAGAGTGAAATATTGAAATTCCAGTTCAGTAAACCATAATTTGGGGCATATGAAATGATTATAACATTTACACATCTTTTGTTTTAGTTGTGAATGGAGGAAGGGAGTGAAGGCAAAAGTGGTGTCTTTACCTGCTGAGGTTATCAGTGATAACTTTCAGGACTTTGCATATTTGGAATAGTGGCTCTGAGGAACCTGCTGTTTCTATTTATGTCCTCTTGTAGGTCTTGGATTCTGAAAACATGCTCTGACTAGGGGCTCCTAATATGTGACCTCCTCTGACACTCAGTGAATTGGAACAGTTTTTGGTGATATCAGTCTTGCTCTTACATCACAAAAGAAGTTTACCTGGAAGCTTTGTTCTCTGTTCTCTTGTATCTGAAATAAGGCCAGTGGAAGAGAGAAGGGCTTTTCTTGTGCTGATATTAAACTTGAGGAAAAAAATGCAAGCTCCCAATTCAGTCTTTTTTATTAAAAATAAATCCAATCTCCCTTTCAAGATAAGATTGTTTGCTTCTTATTGAAACTCAAAATAGTAAGCTAAGAAGAAGGAAGCTGAGAGACGTGGTTAGAAATTGTTTTGCTGCAGTGTATCTCCATATTTGTTATGTGAAGATTTTCTTTGTGCAAAAGAACAAAATCCAATTGGCAATAGTGTATGAATAAATGTGGGGGAAGAAAATTATGGAAAAGATCAAAGAACACAGGCTCCTGGAGAATTCCTTGGTGGTGTTGTTGATTGTGGAATATAGGAGGGTATCTGAAGAAGGGGATACAAGAGCAATATTAATCCAACACATAGTCAGAAAACATTTATGGAACATGCCCTATGAGCTGGATTCTATATTGGTTGCTTCAGAGACTTTAAGTGTCTTTTAATTTAAACTTCCTTAGGCTATAACTTGAAATCTCTCCACTAGTTTTCCTCCGTCTAGTAAACAGACATGGTTCTTGCCCCATGGGAATCCACGATCTAATATAAAAGACAGACATGAAGCCAGAAAACCTATATAGGATTAATACATGAAACATCATAACAAGTGTGAGCCAGTGTATTCTATATAGAGGATTAATATGTACACTTACAAATGGTATGAAATGTAACAGGGGATAATTACATAAGAGAAAGAATAACTGGGAGTCCACCTCAGTTCTCCCTGAAGAAGTGACCCCAGGGCTCATAGTTGGAGGAAAAGCAGGAGGCAGGAGTAGGACACAGTGGATTTAGGGCAGTGGTGCATGATGATGCACAAAGAGACTGAGGAGGGATAACTTTTGTCTAATATGGCAGGTGCATTTATACACAGAGACTAAGGGGGAAAGAAAAAAGGTGAAGATAAAAGCAAAGAGCAAGTAGTATGGAAGTATTTCAGGGGTCAGGGTGGGCCCGTGTTTTCAACTTAGCAGAGTTTTCCCTAGGGGCAGTAAAAGGGGGCAGAAAGAAGAGACAGAGTGAGGCTTACTGAGATCCACTATGTGGTAAGCACATTATTCGGTGATATTTCAGG